ATTCAAAACCCGCCTGGACGTGTTCCTGTGCGATCTACTGTAGGTGGTCCTGCTTTGGCAGTGGGGTTGGACTAGATGATCTTTTGAGGTCCCTTCCAACCCCGAACACTCTGTGATTCTGTGGTTGGTGGCCATAAGAGTTTCTGGATATGACAGAGTTGTTACTTACCTTCTTCTGTGTTTGGTTTCGTTCGATATTTTTTTCAAGAAACTACTGTCAGTTGAATTTTTTGTAATAGCAGTTATATATGGTAGTTTTGTTCTAGCAGGGTCCTCAAACCAATGGTGAGGAAATCAGTACTGAAAATCCATACAATAAAGGAAGCTTTGATGAGAGATTTGGAGAAAGGAAGTAATTTTACTTGATTTATTGCTGTAATAAAATAATACATTAATTTGCATTTCATGTACTGAAGGAATACTTTCAACTTGGAGCACTGTCATAAGTGACACTGGTTTTGGCTAGCATTTGTTTTAACACAGTTATTTCCAAGTTGAAAATAGTTTTTTCAGTATTTCTAATACTTTCAGTATTTTTCTGATAAGTTAGTCCTGCCACTTTTTTCCTACCAATGAAAAAAAATGTAAGGAATCTTCCTCTGCTGGCTTTGTCTGGCGCATCAGTACTGTAAGAGGAGATGGTCAAGTTTTGCTTGTTTCATTTCTAGAGACCTTTGTTGATGGTGTTGCTTTTGTAAGCATCACAGTCTTAACAAGGTCGCTTTTGATTTCTTCTCCGTTTTTTATAATGAGTTGTGACGCATCTTTTTTCTGTGATCATCACTATGCTTTTCAAGTGCTTCTCTGAAAAAGCTATCTAAAGATTACACTTTATGATTTTGCTCTCTATTTATGTTTTCTTTTCATAATTTTGCTGGGCTTGTATTGTGAAGAGGTTAGAGGTTTTTTCAGTTGCTGTGGTACATAACTTTTTTTTCTACCAGCAGTGTATAATACTGTACAATCCTCAGAAATGATCTGAGGAACTTTATTTGATTGTGATTATTTCTAGTTGAAACAGAAGCTTGGAATCTACTATTTGTATCTTTGCGAAGAAGACGGTCTTTTCCTAGAAAATGGGAAGAGGACATCTGCCCTGAGAAAAAGGAAGAAGTGTTACAGCAATTGGGAGGGCCATGAGCAAATAGTGTATGTGGGCCTTTCCCGATGTCAGAGAGTCATTTTGTTGTACAATAAATGGGGAGATATTTTTTTCTCACTGTCCGTCTTAATTTCCATGGTACTGACTTAGAAAACTCGATGTCAGATGCCACACTGCGAAGTTGTCTGGGGTTTAACTACATATTGGCTGAGTCAAAACAGTTCAGCTCTTCAGTATCAGCAGTAATGCTTTTAAGTGATATTACTACTGCTTTACTCTTGGACTCACGTATTTTTTTCATTTTCTTAGTCCTGCTAGAGGGAATGCATGTTTTGTACTTGACTTTGGATGAAGCAGTAGTAGTACGGCTCTTCATGACACAAATACTGCCATGGACATCAGTGGAAGACTTGTCACAGGCTTCAGAGTGCTGGTAGTGATAGCTTTACTGATCCAACTTCTAATGGATTGCTGCTTTTTTTTTTTTTTTTTTTTTTTTTTTTTTTTTCCCTTTCCTCTCCACAGGGTACGCATTTTATCCAGTTGTGTTGCCAGAGAAATATTCCCATTGTGTTTTTGCAGAATATTACAGGTGAATAAGCTCAATATTTTGAAGTTTCACTATGTGGTAGGCTTTGCTGTAACCGTTGAGGTTATGACTTTTAGACAGTATCGTGTGCTTTGTCATTCCTACGTCTCCAGCTTGTTCTGAAATCAGCCTGTCAGCAGCTGGTGAAGGCCTTGCCCTATGATTTGTTCTTCAGTTTTTTCTGCATATGCTATAAGGCACATAGTATGATATATAGCACAGGATAATAATATAAAGTTAGTGACCCTTTTTTTATGTTGTAATTCTTTAGGTTTCATGGTTGGTAGAGAATATGAAGCTGGAGGGATAGCAAAAGATGGTGCCAAGATGGTAACTGCTGTAGCTTGTGCCAATGTACCTAAAATAACAGTGATTATTGGTGGTTCTTATGGAGCTGGAAACTATGGGATGTGTGGAAGAGCATATAGGTGGGTGTTACTTTACATTATGACAGGAGATAAGACTAAATTAAGGGAATGTAACCTTCTTGCAGAAGTTGTGCAGTTTGGAAAACAAAATAGTTCTCAGTGAATACGGTCATAAGTAAATAAGAACATGACAAACCTGTAGAGATTGATAGAGTCATGATTAACCTCGAATTAGGTGATGGAGGAGATCTTCTGACATGTAAACATACTGACGTGCTTTTCTCCCATTTTAGCTTTTGGAGGAAAAATAGTAGAGTCCTAAACAATTGATTAGGCAGTAGGGGCTGCTCATTTATTCTGCATTCATATGAAGATTACCAGCTTGTGTAAAAAATCCTTATTCACTTTAATGAGGCCATTTTTATGAGTAGTGTTTGTAGAACCCCTAAGGCTTTATTTTTTTGATCTTTGGACATGATTTACGTGTGTTTTTCATTTTTCAGGGTCCCTGATAGTATGGGAGTTGTTTGTGATATTTTTAAAGAGAAAAATTCCTTGAGGGGTGGTGAGATGAAGAGACTCAAGAAAGATAAATAAATTTTTAAGGTGCTTGAATATGGGAAATAGCAGAATTTTCACATTTTTAAACATAATGCTGCAAGCATTGAAGTGCATTAATTTGCATTCTTTAAAAAACCAGTACATTGTAAGATTGTCGTGCATAAAAATGAATTCTTAGCTGAGTGAGAATGAGTTCTTTACTAGGAAATAATGCAAAGTTATCTTTTAATATTTAAAATGTGTTTTTTCAGTCCAAGATTTCTTTATGTGTGGCCAAATGCTCGCATATCGGTGATGGGAGGGGAACAAGCTGCAACCGTTCTAGCTACGATAGCTAAAGACCAAAAAGCAAGGGAGGGAAAACAGGTACATCTTTCTTCTTTCATTCGCAGTAATGCCGTTATCATTTACTCTTTCACTGGCGTTGCTCCCTTTATGAGCTAGGAAAGGGTGTTACAAAGTGAGACACCAATAAACTATCGTTCTCCCAGTGCCACCTAGGGCATTGACAAACATGAAGCCTTTGTGAAATGTTATTGTGTACATCTTCTAAATTGAAGATAATTCATGATGTTTCTTGTCTTTGCTTAAAAAGAGCAGTATTTCTCATATTGTCATATTTTTGTATTTTGTGCACCAGATACTAGTTTTGCCCAAGATGAGCAGCCAGGGATCCTCCCTGGTTTGGGAGTATGAGGAGGAATATGTGAGAACAAAGTGTCTTTCCAATTATTTTTGAAGTAGGCAGTTTTATAGAGACCTGATCTTCAAATTATTCAGTGGCTGAGAATTACGAAACTTAACAGCAGAAGTCTGTAGCAGCTTGGGAAAGGTTTTGACTCAGTTTTACATTTTAATTGAAAATTAATGGTATGTTGTTTAATAATCTTTTCTGCTTTCACTGAATGCTCTTTTCTGCTGTGTTTTTTAAATTACATGGTTTATGTTTTTACCAGTGCCTTGGTCCCATAAGAAGTGATTTTATTCTGATGTCTTGAAATTACTTGTATTTATCATGAGTAGTTACTCAGAATAATGAAGCGGTATGTGCATGTGGTCTCAACAGTTCTTTTTTCTACAATTTACTTGGACTTTGTGTGGATACAATATATTCACCCTCATCTCTTTCTGTCTTAATTTCCCGAATACCCAAGATGGACAGGATGATACCCAGAAATCAATTTGAGGAAAATAATTGTAGTTAATGTCAGTAAAATGTGTTAGAAACCTGAAGATTTTTTGAATTACAGTGGTGACCACTCTGGATCATAGAGAAACCCAGTGTTAGAATAGTACAGACTTGTTTTATTAAAAAAAATTGCCAAAGGCAACTCAGAAGGGGGTTTATTCAGTACAGTAGCTTCAGTAATTTTTTGGATGATAATCCCCAATTATTCTTAATAATCCCCAGTTATTTTTATTCTCCTTTTCCCGCCCACCTGGTTTGAAAAGTGGTATTTTAATTTCGTTGTCAAATATGCTAAATTGATAATTGTGTGTAAAAAGGGGGAAAAACTTTGGGGAGATCATTTAGGCAGTTTCTTCAGGTTCGGTGCTGCATATAAAGCTCTGCTATCATTGTGGAAGAAAATCTTAAAGAATATCTTACCTGTGTTTATTTGCCCGTTTTTTCAGTTATCTGAGGCAGATGAAGCAGCTTTGAAGGAGCCAATCATTAGGAGGTTTGAGGAGGAAGGAAACCCTTATTATTCCAGTGCAAGGTAACATAAATGACTTCTCCAAAACTTGATCGTAATCACAGAAAATAACAATAACGTTTAAGTCTTGGTGTTGAAGAAGAGCAGAACTGAGCAATTTGGAACAAAAATTATGTTTGATCTGCCGGAGTACAACAGGCTTCAAATCAATGTTTTGTCTGTCTTTTCTCTGAGACTTTGTAGTATGTACTGTTTCAGAAGAAGGCACGCACTTGCAGGAATTATTCTGCTCGTTCTGTAAGTAATAATATGGTAGCATGAATTTTATGTTCTGTGGGGTTTTTTTCTGAGTAAGTTTTATACCATTCTCTCCAGTGTAGTATCTGGTCACCTTTCTAAAGCCCATTGAACAGTGTAATGGGTGGCTGCGTGTGTGTTGGAAGAATTTATTTTAGTGGCATTCTGCAAGTAGAAGAGGCCATAGGTAAAGCAGAAGTTTCAGGAAGACCTGAAGCTATCTCAGGTCGTGGTCTTGGCAGGTAACTATGTTGGATGTCAGCAATCTGAATAGGGCGTTAGCTGATGGGTGCAGCATATTCATGTTTGTTGAGAAGTCCTGTGCAGCATTTTGTGCTCAGGTTAATGGAATATTAGTAATTGCCCAGGAACTAGTTAGGCTAATGGAGCAAGGTGGCATCCTGGAGTGTTACCTCTGGAAACTGGCTTGGACGCTTTCTTGGCCTCTGATTGTTACCTTAAATTAGTTTCATGCTGTCTGTGCTATTCTGCCTGCACATTTTTCTGCTTATGGTACCCGAAAGCTAATTCTCCACGGGCTCTCAGCTGCTAGTGATGGTAGAGAGTAGCATGTGATAACGGGGCTTTACTGTGCCTCTGGCTTCTCATTTTGGAGAACAAATATTAATCTCATACAACTGTGGAGTCTGCTGCATATATGTTTTTGTGTAGCCAAGTTAGAATTACTGATGGTTTTCTCACCTGCAAGCTGGAAAGTCTGGAAACAAACTGAGTACAGAGTGATTGGAATATGAGAAATTTTGGTGTGGGCATCATGGGCAGAAATTACGTGAACAGGTGGGTGTAAGATACTCTGTCAATGTCATAGAGATGCCAGTAAGAGAAGGAGTTTGGGGGCCTTTTTATCTGACTTGATACTTGTTTAATCTCACATACGACAGATGTGATAGAGCAGCAACACCAGCAGCATAGCATCAATGAGCTGCTTTATGACCCATTTATTATGATCTGAAAGAAGATATAAGATTAATGGTAGTTTTTACTCTGTTTTCTGATGGGATAGTGGAATGAACGTAACTGAAATAATCGTACTTGGGGGATCCATATTCATTTCAGTGTTTAATCAAATGAGTGCCTTCATCAGATGAAAGTTCTTGCCATTTTGCCCTGGCTGGTGCTGTGATGGGATAAGTATTCTCAGTAGGATATGTAGCACGGGATTTGTGCTGTTGTCTAGGCCGATTTCAGTGGTGCAGTTGTGTAGCATGTGGGTCATTGATTTAGGGAGGGTTTTAGTCTAGTCACTGTTCAGTCTCTGCTTCTGGCAGAGGCCTAGGTCGTAGTGTTGCAGAGTCATAGATATTCTCAACTTCTTGAGGTTTTATGTGTCTGTACAACGCCCACTGGTACTAAGTTACAGTTTATTGGGCTTTTTACATGTAATCAGTGAGCATGCTTTTGCAAAATCCTGAATCGTTATTGGCACGGACTTTCTGGTGGTAGACTGGTTTTGATTTTTTTAAATCTTTTTGATCAATTTAAATTTCTTAAGGTTTTGGCCAAATTGAGAGGTGGTGTCAGCTGTTAAAAAGTTTATGATATCTCTTTTATTACCCCTTAAAGATCAGGTCTAGTATCTGTGTCACAAAACCTTGTGCCCTGAAGCAAGAAGGAAGAATGGAAAAAAAACATATTGTCATCTTTTATAACTGGATTTTAAGGAGAAGTATTTTCCACTGATATAATAACATTTAAAAAAATTAGTCAAACTGTATTTAAAATTAATCCCTACCATGGAGGAGAAGATGAGTGGTTTGAATTTTTTTTTTTACATTTGCTTTTTTTATATGTTCACCGGAAACACAGTCATACTGTCTTTGTACTCACAACTGAAAATATTTTGATTTATTTAACATTCAATATATGCAGTATATTAGCCATATAAGAATTTGTCCTCTCCCCAAAACCAACAGACCATTGTCAGTATTTACAACAGTAAGTTACTAATGAGCAGGAAAGTAGTTTTACGTGTAAGATTATGGTTAGAATTTTTAAAAGTCCAGTGAGTTTTAGACAGGAAATTTGAGTATTTAACAGCAGCTTTGTGGTCTCTACTGAGCAACTTTTACCAGTTTGTTTCCAGAATATCTGGCCATTTTGTGAAGTTGCAAATCTGGAAGGCACTTCAGTAAATAGCCTAAGTTTGCCTAGCCCAGGGGTTAGGAAGTGTTCTTAACGTTAAGTGTCGTGTCCTTCATTTAAAAAAGCAGTGTAGTTACATACACCTTATTGTTCCTGTAGCTGGGAAGGGAAACTTAACATGCACAGATGTGAGCTGGCTGAAAACTAGCGGGGGTCTGGGTGGCATGTGGTTGGGTTCATGTGATGCTGCCCTCGAGTAATAAGCCCAGCTGAGACATGAAGTCAAATGTCAGTGCTGAAATCCCACTGAGGTTCGTCTGGCTAAAAGCAATGAAAGTGAAATTCCGCTTTTCACTCGGGAGTGCTTGTGAGAACAGTGTGTGACTGGCTCAGGTCAAGACAGTCCAGGCTGGTTTCTCGCTATATTCAATCCGTGTAGGTACAGCCTGCATTGTCTAGGAGCTCTTAATTGCTCTCTGCTGACTTGTAGTACTTGTAATTGGGTATATCAGTAGATATTCTTGCATTTTCTGCCCTGATTTCATGCCTTTCTGCCAATATTACGTGTGTCTCATTCCTTCATCTATTGCTAATTCCTAAGCGAGATCGTAGACCAATAGCTCAAAAGTTTTCATTACTGTGGAGTAGGCTGCCCAAGCAGAAACAATGAGATAAAGTAGGATCATAGCTTTTGCAGCAAGTAATATACCTGAGGGAGGGATTTAGCCACCTTGTACCTTGGAGCCAACCCATTTGTCAGTCAACATCAGCAGCTGCTGATTGGCAAGCATTTGTCGGTAGGTCAGGGATGGGAAGTAACCTCTTCCCTTTGGTCTAAAGGATTCTTCCTGTCTGGTCCCAAGCATGGTAAAACAAACAAACAAACAAACAACAGTTGGCCATCAGGCAAAAGTCAGGATGCTGTACTGAAAATGATTCTGGACAGCCTTGGATTTTTAAGATGCTAACTAGATCCTGCCACCAAAAAGAGCAACAAGAAAACGCCAACAGCTTTGCATTACTGAGGGGAAAGAATGATAGATGGACAGAAAGACTGCTGTCTGTATTGCTGCTCGGGTGCAGCCATTTTGGAGGCTCCCTCACACTGACCTCTTGCTAAGGTGTGGGGACCAGTCTGCCTCATCCCGATGTCTGTTGAGATTGATGCCCTTCCACTTGACTTCATTAGGCTTTGAATCAAGGTTTTAGCAGTAATAATGAGAGGAAAGAAAAATGCCCCAGTGATCTTAAAATACAAGCAAATTTCCCCATTTACTCTGCTTGTGTAATTTTGCTTGTGACTTACAACTTGTTATATGAACAGGGTGTCAATACTGTTGCCTGCAGTTGTATTTTCTAATCAAACTTTAATCAATTGTTTGATTAGAACTCTTCACAGTGAGCAGTCTTAATTAACGGGAGTCATTAGGCAGCACCCTTTTCAATGAGTTCATACTAATCTGCTTGCAGGTTTCTAGAAGGATTTCAGCAGTTTTCATCTTAACAAATTACATGAGTATTTTACTTTGGGGCACTTCATTTCTTTTACTCACAATGTCTTGATTACAAATATTTTGATTGTAGTTATGACTCATGTTCTAGCAATGGGGTTTTAATAGATAGTTTAATTATTAATGTTACAGTCCAGTAGAGAATGTAGTTTTCTTTAAAGAAAGAGAAGCAGAAGCCAGGAGTGACCATATGAAAGCAGCTTGACTTCATGCAACGTAAAGTCTTTGTGGTTGTCAATGTAAGTTAATTGTGTTGTTACAAAAAAACCCAGATCTGCCATTAGAATGTACTTCATGTTCGGAAGCATTTATTGCAGTGGTAGTCACTGTGAAGTTGCAGCTTCGAAGGTACCGCATTAAGTTGGTGATTCTTTTTGATTCAGTTCATCCCTGCCCTACCCCGGCCCTTAGCAGATTTATTAAACACTTTCAGGGAGTATGAATTCCTTCATTGAGTTTCAATGTGTTTCATAAATAAAAAAGTTAATTGCAAGTGTTCATTAAAAGAAGTTGATCTGCAGAGCAAACAAACCTGTAACAGTCAAAAAACCCCAAATTTGCTTAAATTTAGAAATTACTATATTCGAGATTGGGTTGGGAACAAAACCTGTAAGAACAGCCCTAAGAAAACAAAGGGATTGTAGTTCATTTGTCCTCACAAAACTATTTTACTTTTCACTATTAATAGGGATCTTCTTCATCCCTTCAGTGGATTAATCTGATTACATTCATCAAAACTAAATCAAGATCTAAAATATAAGAAAAGGGAAAGAAAAGCATATGCATTAAACTTTGGTGATGCATACTTCATGGTGTTGAAAGTGTAAGAAATAGTCCATCTTGGCCATTTTGTCATGCTGGATTATATGAGTAGATAAAACCACTATATTGGGGAAAACCAAGAGAATTCAAAGAACTCTTAAGTAAGTCTCAGGTCCTTTGGTTGTTTTCAACAAAAAAAGCTTCTAATTGTTTTTGCTGTATGGTAAGAAGCACTTACACTGAGTCTCTTCAATGGAGTATTGTTAAAATATGCCAAAATACTGTTAATATTACTTAAAATTTAAAGCTACAGTTAGGAAAGGAGTTATTTGCAGGAACCAGACTGCAAGAGCTTATACCATGCACTTTATCCAGAAGAAGATAGAGATGATTCTTGTGTGTCTTCTGCAACTGAATTTTCTATTAGTACCACTTCGGTGCATACACAAGCATGGCTGTTAGAACATTTCAAAGTATGGCTTACTAGCCCACTAGAAAGGAGATGCTCACTGAGAATCCTAAAATGAGAACAGATCAGAGCGATCTACGGTTTCCTTGTAATTTCAGTTTATAGTTTGTTTGTTTGTTTGTTTTTTTCCCAGACTTCCTTCTATACTGGTTAGGACCTGTCAGCCAGGTCAGTGAGTCAGCTACTGTGGTGTAAAATTTCTTTAATCAAGCTTTTGTTTTCAGTCCCAAAAAAGAAACAGCATAATTTTGCCCAATTAACAGCAAAGTTGTCGCTTCTTCAAACCACTTTCTCCTCCTGTACTGCAGCTGTGCTCTTATGCCCCATTTAGGGTAACGGTCTCTTCTACTTGGGAAGCTGCACCATGGTAAGATACCTTTATAGTAGAATGTTCTTTCTGAGTTGGATATCTCATTTCTTCTGTCTGTGCTAGTTGGAGAACAGGCTTCTAAGCTGAGTCTGAACCCTTGTACCTCATCTTGTTACAAGTGCCCTTTATTGCACTTCCACTTTGTGCATCCTAGGGTAGATACATGCATTTGTTGTAAAATAGAAAGCATACGTTGTCAGTCTCTTAATGTTTTTATCTGATTTGATGAATATTACTTTCACAGCAAATGGCAAAATAAAGATGGAAAGCACTCAGAAGCGTCTGCTGCTGCCTTGAGCTTATCAGCGTGTATTTATGTACAGTTTGCAGTTCTCTGTCTTTTGGGGGTGGGGTTGGCACATTCAGTATTGAGAGAAGAGTGCAAAATACCGTTTCCTGTCTAACAGATTTTTTCAATTAATCTTCAAACAATAGGAAATCTGCAGCTGGAAACTTCAGTTAGAAAGGAGTGGCTATGCTTTCTCTTGGTAGAGTCATCTTAGCTCTCTGTTCATGACCCTTTCTTGTATTTTTAAATTTTCCACAGACAAGGCATTAAACATTAGCCAATATTGAAGTAAGTTCAAAAAAGAATGCAAAGTAAGTCTGTCTAGGGAAAGATGGGATGGAGGAGGAGCGTCACGGTCTTAACCAGATACTGTGCATATGTTTTGCAAACCCTGATTAAAGTGCATGCTTATTCAACCAAGGCTGGGTTGCAACAAGCAGTGCGGTACCTTGTTTAAATATCTTGCTAGGAAGGTAGTAGCTGTACAATATTTACAGTTTTGTGGCCTGCTGAGGGTTTTGGCATGGATTTTATTTTGGGTAGGATGGAGCTGTCACTGGGAACTGATGCCACAAGTACTTTGATTTTTGGATAATATCAAAGAGACAAAGAGAGTGTTTGCAATTTTGGGGACTTGGGAATTTGGTAATTGCCTTCAGGGATGGGTTAAGGAGGGTGTTATCTTACAGTTGTTTAGAAATGGACTTCAGAAAAAATAAATACAAGTAGTACTGGAAAAACTTGAAATTTACTCTGACTTTTTTAAAGAATAAGCAGTTGTATCATCCTCATCTGTCAGCTGAACTAACCTGAATAATGTAAATAATAATGTGACACAGTTCTTAAAATACTGGCATTCTTAATAGAAGAAGATGGGTCATTGACAAAAGGTAATTTTTCATGTAAATATTAAAAAACAGAGAGGGCCTCTCTTCTTCATACTTCATACTAAATGATGACTTCATACTAAAAATAAGTATGAAGAATCTCATTTAGTGTATGTAGACCTGACATTTTTCATTTACCAAAAATTTATACTTTGTTCTAGAAGACAAATTCTGCAGAGTAATACACACCAGTCAACTGCATTGATGGTTAAGGTGAATTAACTCCGTGGCTTCAAGTATAATTTGGCTCTTTAGCCCACTCTCTTCAGTATAACTGTTTCCAGTTTCATGTGCTTGAAAATCTTTGCACTGTATGTATTAGTTACCTTTTGTTGTTATTGCTTGATTTTTTTTTTTTTTTTTTTTTAGATTATGGGATGACGGAATTATTGATCCCGCTGACACAAGGCTGGTTTTGGGCCTCAGTCTCAGCGCAGCATTAAATGCACCTACGAAGAAGACAGAATTTGGGGTTTTCAGGATGTGAACAGAAACGTATACTCATCAGAATTACCTCTGTATATTTTAATTTGGGTTGGAGGGGAAACTAACTACAATGTTGAGGTGATTAAAAAATAAAGATTTGTACAATATTTTTAATGAAAATACTGTAATTATTTTTGCTGAGTAGTCATCACAGTGCTTCAGTGTTCTGATAGTGATTTGAGATCAGTCACAGTGCTTGTATAAAACTGCATTGCATGAATAAACTACAGCTTCTAGTGTTGTTTGAAACCATTGACACTATCTCTTACATAAATCTGCAAAATCAGCTACATACTTGGTGCTTATCAGCTCCTTTATTTCTTTTAATTCTTTGTATGTCTCCTATAAAGGCAAAATATTTTGGCAATCCAATAAAAAAAAAATCCCTATTTTTGGATTGTAAATTTTTTTAAAATACTTTTTGCACAAGAGAAGTGCTGTAAGGGCAGCCAGGGAGTTCAACACAGCTTGAAATTACAGGTTTCATGGCATTGTGGGCATTTTTGGCTTTTCTCTGGCTTTCATTCAAAAACATTGCTCTTCTGTGTGGTTCCCTGAAGTCCAAACAAGGGAACGTGGTGGATGCAGTGTTTTCAGGATGAGCTGGGGAGCATATCTGGTGTCTGTGGGAGCTGCAGATTGCCTAGAGCACTTCTGAGGACAGGGGTTTGCTGCAAAGGGGTTTCAGCATCTTGCTGTGTGATCCTTCTGGCATTCTGGGTTCTTCCCACATCGTTCAATGCTTCATCCAGAGCACATGCCTGAATCCCACTGACTTCAGGGCTATTGAGAGCTGGAGTGCTTTGGTTAGTCTTACTTATTTATCACAGTTTGTGGCAGTGTAATGTTTTTCAGGAATTCAGTGTGTGTCATTTCGGTTTTTCTCTGGAAATATTGCACCTTCTAGAAACTAAGTGCTTGTGTGCCTAGAATAAGGAGGCAAATACTGTGCTCGCTGGGACCAGGAAGGTGATTTTACCTAGCTTTGCCCTACAGGTGTCCAGATGACCATTGGCAGAAAAACTCTTCACTGAGGCTCAAATCCAAGAAGAGTTAATGTACATGGATGGAGGTCCTATCCCATGCTGCCCTGTGAAGAAGAAAAGTTGCTGAGAGGAGTAATTGTCTTGGATAACACGCTAGCTGTAGTCTTCCTGGACTCGTGTGGCAGAGGAGATCCCCTTGGACCCAGGAGGGGGAAGGAAGGTCTGCTAGCTACTAGCCCTCTCGGTTGTGTCTCAGGCAAATGCAACAGTGAAAATGAAATAAATCTTTGGAATGGGGATTTTCAACATAGAATACAGACAGCCCAGCATATGTTGAGCTGTGGGGTCTCTGGTACGCCTCTACATGGCACTAAAAGACCAGTTTTCTTGCTCGTTTTACTGAGAAGGAATTATCCAAAACCCGCCATGTGCTGCACCACTAGAAGGATTGCTTCTATAGATCTGCACACAGTGATCTCGCTGTCATGCTCACATGGATGTTCTTAGTATCACAGAATCACACAGAACATTAGGGGTTGGAAGGGACCTCGAAAGATCGCCTAGTCCACCCCCCCTGCCAGAGCAGGACCACCTAGAGTAGATCACACAGGAACGCATCCAGGTGGGTTTTGAATGTCTCCAGAGAAGGAGACTCCACAACCTCTCTGGGCAGCCTGTTCCAGGGCTCTGCCACCCTCACCGGCAAAAAGTTTTTCCTTATGTTAGGGTGGAACCTGTATATTAAATAAAAATATTAATAAATAAATTATTATAACAATATTTTAATTATTTTATATTACATGTAATCATATATTGTATAATGTTATCTGTTATAAATAGTATAATATTTATAAGTATTTATGAATATTAAGTATATTAAATATATATTTAGCGGAAGAGTAATAGTTTAAAATGCTGCAGTAGATGGCACTAGGCACAGACCTGTGCTTTCATGCCACTGATTCTCATCTCGGTACATGAATTTGTAAACAGGTTGGGCATGGCCCCGGAATTTCTTTATCCTAAAAGTACAGTGACGTTATTTATGATTGCTGGACTTCTGAAATGCCTTTAAAAATACCATACTTTCAAATACGTATATATAAAATAAAGCCATATTTTGGATGCTTAAAGAAAGGAATGTTAAGAGACCTAACTAAAAGGTAGCTGCCACCACAAGGGCATAAGATTCCTGACGGCAGAGGCAATGTAGGAGCTGTGGGTGACTATTTTGAGACTTGTCCTACCCAGCTCCAGTATGCGTCACCTATTCACTGCAGCTCACAACTGTTTGTCTCTTTACTTACTGGAAAGGATCACGCTTAGGATGACACTTGATTTTTCAGATGGAAATTGAGGAACAAGGGAAATGGCTTTGCCATATCAAGTGCCCAAGCTGTGGTGGACCAGGACCTTGGATTCGGTGCTCTAGGCTTCTAGGGGACCTTTCTGCTCCCATTTGGTCTCGCCTTGGGGATCTTCTCAGCCATATGCCTCCCTCCTGCCTCAGAGCAGTGGCAAGGCCAAGAGGTTACCTAGTTCCAGCTTTCTTTGATAGCTGGA